ACCATCATATTCCGGCCGTGAAAGCCTTCGACAATACATTTCAGAAGTGCTTTGTCCTTGCCTGCTTCCTAGGGCTGAGAGGGGGACTGGCGAAGGTCACCCAGCTGGCTTCATGCCTAAAGTGGGACTCGAACTCATGGCCTCCCGGTTTCTAGCCTGGTGCCTTAACCACTACACCAACCTGGGTATCATTTAGTAGGCACTGTGCCTTTAAGACTGCCAACCTCTAGCAAGCAGAGAACTCCAAAGGCAACTTTGGGGCAGGAGGTCAATTTAGTGTGTGTGTGTGCACACAGGCATGAGTGAAGGGAAGGGAACAAGATTAAATGCTAATTCCACAGCATAAGCCCCTACATTAGAGACAAGCCATAGGTTTGGCTCCAGAACAACCATTATTCTATGTCATTCTTAAAGTAATTTTCTGTTCACCTATTTGCATTTGTATATTTGAATATTAATAGTATATCTGATCATCTACTCACAGCCATAAAGGTGGTTTTTATTTTATTTGGATTTCCCAGTCACAGGGTTGAACATTGATCCATTAGTTTGATCCAAGTTTTTTTGGGGGGGAGGGGGGAAATTGCAAGGGACCAGTTTCTTTAAAATAAAATGCAGAGAAGTTGGTGTAGGTCCACATAGGATTCTTGGGAAAACCAGTTCCCAAACTCAGAAAAAGCCTCAACGTTAAGATGGTTGTTTGAAGAAGTAACCATTGGTTGTGTTCACACATTGCACTAAGCCATAAACTATGGTTTGGCAACCACAGTGGCTGGGTTTACACACGAGGCTAAGCCAATATTAATCATCAATGGTAATATCGGTCATTGCAAAAAGATCATTAAAAATGAAAGGAAGTTTCTTACATCCTTCTGCTGAAACAGCAAAGTGTACATAAAACAGTGAACAAGACTATGAAGTTGCAGAAGACTAAATATTGGACAATATTGGACAATATTTAAATTTTAATAAATATTGACCAAATACAGTACAAGTTTCTTGATGAGGGCACTGGTTTAGAAACCAGCACTGGTTTAGAAATCAGCACTGTTTTACAGACTGCATCCTGTAAATATTTCAAGTCAAACGAATTTGGCATTTCAGTTTGTGCTGTAGGACAGGGTTCCTCAACCGTGGCGACTTGAAGATATGTGGACTACAACTCCCAGAATTCTCCAGCCAGCATGGCTGGCTGGGGAATTCTGGGAGTTGAAGTCCACACATCTTCAAGACACCAAGGTTGAGGAATCCTGCTGTAGGAGATAGAAAGGATGAATCTATCATCACATTGAGGGTAGGAAGCAGCAACTTTCTAAGGGTTTGACCTCTTTCAAAGCAAGGAAAGAAGCTTCAGTAGACACAACATAAATGTTCCAAAGATCATAAAAGGAGAAAAAAGATCCACAAACACCCTTAAAGTAGTTCCATATTGGAAGATGAAAAAATGTTAATAATAACAGCAGCAGCAGCAGCAAGCTAGAACTGATAATTTGCAGCTCAAGCCTTGGAATAACAAAGAAGATGAATTAGAAATGAAGAAAATATAAGTTATATAAGGCAATTCTGTAAGTTACATACTCCAGTCTGTAAAATCCGTACCATTCACCACTGCTAGTTCAGTTTGTCACCACCTTCTCATTAAACACCTAACAGTGCATGTATGAACAACAAAATCTACTGCAACTGTTGTAATTATAAAAGCCTAATCTTACAAACAAGAAGGTGGTAAGAATCACAGCCCAGAATCTTTATCATACAACAAGAGACTCTGTTTCTCACGCAATTTAATGCAAAATTCAGCTCAGCAATCAGCAATGGCTAATGGAGCACCAGAAGCACAGGAAAATAACCCTAGGGCAGAAGAGTTGCCTGAAACTTTTTATGAGTTGGCTCCTCCGGTTGCCTTGCTTGCTGATCATGATAAAGGGAGATACCAAGCTTTTATGCAAGGTCTAGCCATACAGATCTGAAAAGACAGTGTCTGGCTTCATATTATACACTAGTCTGGGATAAAATAGTTGAATATCTTGCACTTCAGTATACTGAAGGCAGTTTGTACGTTGCAGGACTCAGCCACTGTCCTAGCACGTTGTGTAACTTGCCATAATATGGTCTTGTTATGTGAATATATCTCTAAGTTAACCTGAGATTAGTATTTAGTACTTTTGCATTAATTTGGGGTTAGGGTTTACCTAATGAAGCATTTTCTGATGCCCTTTTTGGGGACAAATTAAAGCCAAAAGGATGCCACTAAAAAAGACTGACAGACAATATCTTATCTTCAAAAGCTCAAGAATTTTATTCTTGGAAGCCTTCTTCTCTACCTGTCCAATACACAACAGCACTGCTTTTGCTTTTGTATCTAAACTCTGCTCAACGTCCTCTATACGAATGGCTGAGGAGTAAACAAAGAATGGATAATCCATTGGGCTAAAACAAGATGTTATTTATTCTGGCACTGTACCAAAGATTTGGGGTCATTATTGATGGGGAACAATTCAAGCCTACCCTCCAGCAGAAAGGCCTCCATGTTCCTAAGAGTCTTCTTGATATGCTCAGCTTCTCTTGTCTCTTGCTACCTAAGAAACAGCTAGGGAAAAAAGAGCAGTAACTTCCACATTGCTTGCCTCCTCTCTCTTTGAAGTTAATGAGAGAAGAAAATATGAAAGTAAAGAGCACCTTGAGGTCTAAAATCTGGAACTGGTACTGTATCAGCTCAAAACTACATTGATCTTTCACAAAATGTAATACCATAGAGACTTTCCAATTGGGGATTTCAGTCACTGTATCTACTCTTCTACAAGGGAATATTTTCTTCTTTCTCCACCTCCCACCCCAGCCTTGTAGTCAATAGTCTGTGACTACTGATCATGCAGTAGTCAACTTTACATTGTTTGGGGGGCAAAAGTGGGACAGTTGGTTATATACCACTATAGCAGACTCACTGGGTGGATTTCAATGTCCTGGCTATCAAGCAATGATACTTGCAATCTGAGCACCAGAAATAAAAGGAACGATAGGAAGAGAAAAATCACACATTCAAGACTTAAGACATTTCAATTATATTTTAATTGAGTCTTTCTGTGTACAGTACATTGGCTTCTGAGAACCATACCAAAAATTTACTTGTTCTCTGTTGGTTTTGTGTGGTTTTTAATCTCTACTTCTAGAAATATTGATCAGTTATTGAACAAAATGCACAGGTTCTTGTTTTTCCTCAATAAAAGATGAATTCCCCCACCCCCATTTGAGTAAAAGATAGACCATTCATGACTCTGTAATGAAAATGAATTGCAAGGTAATTTGAGTGGGATCCTGAATAGAAGTTTAAAATACAAGGAATTGGAATGACCGGAAGAAATCAGTCCCAAATAAAATATTTTAATTGGAACAAAATTATAGTATTATAAAATGGTGTCTCACTTCCTCAGTGGTTGTAAAATCAGAAACCACACCAGGTACAACATATTCTTTTAACGCTTCAACAAATACTAGTTTTGTTCAAAGTCCAATTATTTTGGAAGCAGGTCGCTCATTTAACTGCCATTCTAAAATATGCAATGGGTATAGACTATAAATACCCAATATATTGCAAATTATTACTCAATGGAGCAACAGCATTCATTGAATGTTTCTTGGTGAGAGGGTTTTTCACAAACCTCCATGTATAGGAAAAGTACAGTTACAAGGATGTAACAAGTCCAGATTTCTAAATCTGATACAGAATTTTTGTTCACTAAAGAATTGCACTCGGAAATTAGAACAAATACCCCAGAAAAGGAATACTGTATGCTTTATATTCTTTAGCCATTAATTTAAAAGCAGAGTATGCTGAAGATTGATAAATAATTCACTTTGTAAGAATTTGGTGAGCATAACAAATAAACCTTTAGAATACCTTAATTCTATATTGGTACCCATTTCAGTTCTACTCTTTCTCCACCCAAGCATTACAATTCACAGAATTCACAGAATTCATTACGTAAATAATTTACTCAGCAGAACACTTAATTAAAAGGTGCGGCAGGGGGAGCTGAGAAGGCCGTTCAGACCAACCCTAACCTGGATTTGATCACTTGTACATTTATTTACATACAGTGTTATTGCTTGGATCAGATACCATCTAGACCAGAGTTTCTCAACCTTGGCAACTTTAAGATGTGTGGACTTCAACTCCCAGAATTGGGAGTTGCTGGCTGGGGAATTCTGGGAGTTGGGAGTCCACACATCTTAAAGTTGCCAAGGTTGAGAAACACTGATCTAGACCGAAACAATGGCTCCAGAAATGGCTTTGGGACAGCTCCATTTACTTTATTAGCTGTACAGTAAGATTACTTTTCACAGGGAATTTGCTAGCCACTTACATCAGAAATAGCCACATTGACTTTAATGGAATTTAACTTCTGTGTATGTGTATGTCTGTGTGCATATGCAACCACACATTCACAAGTCTTATATTCAGTGACCTGCCCTTTAAGGGTTCCAGCTACTTCACAAGTGCCTGAATATTGCAATGAAAGAACATTTCACAATTATAATAAGTCCAGGTGACATCAATATTTCAATTTGCTCCTAAGGCAGCACATATGTACAAATGGAGCTGTAGAGGGATACAAAACCACATTCTTAATAAATCAAACACTGAAGACTTGTACCGCATCTGCAAAACTTTCATACCCTTAAAATGTAGTGCATGCCTTTCTTCTCTGCTGAAATCATAAATTAATATAAACAGTATTTCAATGAACGTCTGGATCATCCAAGCCTTTTGCCACAACACTCCATCATGCAAAGTCATATATATTAAGAGATGGAAGCTCACTTTAGCTGTCACTCTATGAACTTTTGCTCTGTGCCATTTTTCCTACATATTTGAAGTAAATGTCAATTGCTACCTACCTTCCAATTAACCGGGTATTATGCCAGATCACATGGAGTCACTGCATAAACCTAGAAGTGGCCAATGCATTCCATGATACAGAATTGTCTGACTCCAATCACAGTTTAGTTTTTATAAATATATCAATATTGATTCCAAACGGAAGGCAGGATGTACATTTTTTGGATAACATAGAACCCATGTAAGAATCTGTCCCACAAGGATTTGCCCCTTTTGCAATTTTTCTCTGATGTTTCGAGTTACAGTTCAGTGGAACATTACCAGAGATAGACTGGGAAAGGGGCAAACTAACAACAGAAGGTAGTGCTTTTTTTCTACTTTACCTAGCTAGTAAGTATGTTATCCAGTACAAATTGGATATTTTAAAATATGTGATTGTTATCAAAAACCAAGGATTGTTTTTTTGGGGGGGGGGGAGTTGAGTTATACATCTATCTTATAAGTCTTTCACTGTTCCTCAAAATATCTAGAAATGCAGATTTTTATTAGACTTTATCATTAGCATATATATGTGAAGGCCGTTCAGTATCCCAGAGTCATTGCACTGATAGACTTCTAAATTAAATATATGAATAATTCAGATTTCTTCAGGGATTTTGGCACAATCACCAAGTTCTGTATAATAAGATCCCTGAGAATTGATTAAATTAGCAGTATTTCCTCCCAACTGAAACATCTAAGCTTAAGGGTTCAACCCCATAGGAAAAGTTCAGGCCAGTTTCTTATTATTCTCAGCATTCTGTACAGTGGTTAAGAAATCCAGAATAAGCTTTGCTGTTTTTCTGGGCCGTTCCACGACTATACTGTGCCCACAATTTTCCAGAATGTGTACTTGGGCATCAAGGATTGATTTTGCTAAAATGTCTGCTCCTGAAACATCCAGCACCTAGAGAGAAAAAGATACCATGAAAAACTGACCCCCATATTGGCGGCATCCCAGAATTCATCAAGATACTCTGAGCTGTCTCAGCACCACTTCTGGCTCACAAAGGGACCGATTTGGCTGCCCAAAGCAATCAGTAAGACAAAAAATGTAATACAATTTGCCACCATTTTGACATTTCTTTCCATAAATGGAATTGTTGCTCTCCATGGAACACCTTGATATATGAAGTATCTTTTACTGCCCAGTTCTCGGGGTTCAAAAACACCGCAGGCTGTTGGAGATTGTTCACGCTTGTTCCAGTTGGGTTGGTTGACAGAAGAAAGAATTAGGGATTTTGAAGA